TTATTTTAATCCCTTCAGATGGCTCTTTCCCTGCTTAGTTCCCCATAAGTCTGTGTTGATCAGTACTGTTATTGAGGAGGAAACTGTAGATCTCTGGGATCTTCTTTGTGAACTATAGCTGTTTTCGGTTTCCTGGTTTCTCATCTTCATCTTATCAAATCAGGGCATCAACAGGTTTCCCCTGGATTTCCCTTCCTCCTATGCCTCCTTTGCTGCAGTCTAGAAACTCTCAGGGCAGTAAACATGTAGTTATAGGGTTCACTTCTTTTGTTTTCCATTTGTCAGAGATTACTGTGTGTCATTGCCTGATGTTCTGTGTCTTAAAAAAAAAACATAGTTTTACTTATTATGTCTGTTTAATTTGTTTATTTCAGGCTAGAGGTTAATCTGGCCTGTTTATATATCTGGGTCTGAAGTGTAAGTCCACAGAATTGTCTATTTCCTTCTTATCTCACAAAGTTTCACTTAAATGTTTTCTTCTGGGATAGGTCCATCTGTCATAACACCCTCAAAAATAGGTCCACCTTTTCCCCTTTATCTCACTTTTCTGATAGCATTGCTATCTTTTTTCAATTATAACAGTATATCTATGGATTATTTATATGTTTTCTATAATAAATTGAGTAAAGAGACCATAATTATTTCACTCATCACTATATATCTAGTGCCTAGAAAATGTTTGACAGATGTTTAATATTTGTTGAATGAATGAACTTTTCCTATTTATTATTTACCATAATTTTTGCTCATTTTTGTTCCTTGAGGAATTCCTTCTTTTCTTATTCTCTGATTTACTCCTGCATTTTTGATGTTCTCCAATTCATTTTTTTTACATTTATTTACCTCTCCTTCCTAGCTCTCTTATTCTTCCCCTTTTCTTTAAATTTTCCTCTATGCTTCTATTTGTGTTCCCAGCATCTGTTACGATTCCCTACACTGAAAAAAACCATGCAGTGAAAGCAGGAAAATATCTATAGATAGACTTGAGACTTTCTAAAGGATATTACATTACGTAAGTAGAAGTTGATGAGCAAGCACTCCTCTGATTCAAACAGGATACTATTATTCTCTAACAAGCAAAATTTCCGTCATTTTCACAAGTAGAAAGAGCACTAGATGAGACAGCTGACTGGGTATTAGTCATTCCATAGACTGGTTGAGATTCTGGAAAAGTTATTTAATCTATCTGTGGCTTGGTTTTGTATTATATTATAATAATGGCTACTATTTATAGAAGTGCTGTTACAAACACTAACAAAGAAAAGTTCCATAGGTCTCTAAGAGAGGTAGGGATTATGAGTTTTACTTTATATGTGAGAAAAAGGAAACTCAGAGAAGTTAAGTGACTTGCCAAAGATTACAGAGTAGTAATAAGTAGTTAATACATATGAGTAGTTAAAAAGTAGAAAAAGTAGAACATGATATAAATCTTCTGTGACCCTATGCCTGCTGCTCTTTCCAAATCATTTCACTGGTCAGTGAAAATCTTTCAAATACGGAGGTTTCCTTTGAGCTATAGAGTTTTCTTATTCTATGATGTGAAAGATTTGAAAATGGAATAAAGTTTTAGGGTAGGGAGTTCCTTGGAACCTGAACTATAATACAATAAAGTTTTAGGGTAGGGAGTTCCTTGGAACCTGAACTATAATACAAGATGATCAGTGAACGAGTCCAGGAAAGCTTGAAATTGAGGTGTTTCTTCAGAAATGAAAAGTATAAAGTTCAAAATAGAATGTGATATCACTTTGAGAGCAAAATTGATATAATAAAGTTTAAAAGCTGAATTTCAGAAAGCACTCTTTCAGTCTTCTCAATTGTGAAAAATAATTTTTTAAGTTGTTTCATTTTTGAATATATTTTTTATTGATTGTGGGTAAAAATTGGAAAAAAGGTGGTTTCCAATTATAGTATAATGTAATTGGTTTCCAGCAACCCCAAAACTGAGATACTTAGAGACACTGAATAGTACAGTGGAAAGCATATGAAATTTGTTTTAAATCAGATAGGTCTCAGCTTAATCCCCACTAATTATAACTTTGAGAAAATAACTTAGTATCTTTTGGCTTCATTTTGTTCATCTGTAGAGGAATCTACAGACAGATACCTATCTGCCTTAAAGAGTTACAATGACCATTAAAAAAAATATAACACGGAGTCAAATCGATAAGCAAAATCACAGAAAAGAATAAATACTCAAAGGAAGTGGGTTAAGTTTCTCCAAATAGAGACAATGCAGATATGCTTTCCTGAAAGTTAGGAAACCATTCATGAAACGGCCAAATAGTCTCTATTATAATAAAATGGAACTATAGAAATGTAACCAGATTATATGATTAAATAAATTAAAAAGCAAATTTTCATAAAACTTATTTTTAAAAACATATTCCAGGATATACCTTCAAATCATTAATCTGTCCCTTATCAAAATATGATATTAATTATCCAGAGAAGACTTTAAAGAAATTTGACTTCAAATCCCATGGCTTGTCTGAACTGCTAGATCACTGGTTGAGACATACAGGATCTCTTAATGTCTTCTAAGGACTTGATTTCACTTCTGTCTTGACACTTCAGATCTTTGTTCGAAGAAACTATGATTTTTTTTTTCAGAATCCTAGTGAACCCAGTAACAATAGACCATATCTCTGGTCTCACTTGTTAAATTTGAAAGATCCCATGGCTATTCATATGAGCAAAAAGAACCAGCTACTCTATCTCACCACCATCATCATTTAATTACTGAGCACATATTTGTGCTAGGTGCAGAGGGTACACAGAATTTGAGATCTACTCTTTAGGTTCTTGCCATGTATTTGGAAAGGTAGAGCATATGCATAAAAATAAGTAAACATACAAATGAATTTATGCTTAGTACAAGTGGTTCACATATGTCCATATATAAATATATATATAAGCTTGTACATTATAGGCATTGAAATAATGGAACTGGCACAACAGGACTCTCATGGCAACAGAAAAGATTTACAATTGGAAGTAAAATTTTAGCAGGGCATTTCCAGAGAGGGGATGATATGAATAAAAATTATAAGAGTAGCAAGATACATATGCTTGGCTTAAGGGGAATGTTTTATATAAGAGTAGTAGCAAATTCATTTGAAAATGTAGATGGGAATTCTATTTTAAAGTATCTTGAATGAAGGTTTAAAACCTTTGCTTTTTAAATTTGAAGGCAATATAAAATTATTGAAGGGTCAGAAGTAAGTGAGCATGTCTCAGAACTTCTTTAACCTTTATATCACAGTTGATACTGTAGAATTCTGATTAAGAACCTGCTCCTGTGTCTTATCCTCAGTATACAATTTCTCTTCTTACTATAAAAGCATTACATATTTATTATAGAAATATCAAAAAACACATAAACTAAAATAACTTTTTAAAGTCCACACACAATCTCATGTTTAGAAACATTTATCTTTTTTTATAGATGGATGCATTCTCTCTGCTGCTCTCGCTCTCTCTCACACACACACAATATTGGGGGCACCCAACCTTGCGAAGGCTAAACTGGGATTCAGAAGTTCAAGTATGTATGTTAACCACCTGGAGACTATTTACAGGAAAAGTTTTGGCTGAAACATTTTATGTGGCAGGGAATGGGTATGAAAGAATAAAATTAGGGTAGAAGTCAGCTAATTTTTTATGTAAAGAGCGATATAGTATTTTGAGTAGCATGGACCATATGGTTTCTCTGGCAACTGCTCAACTCTGCCACCGTAGTGTGGATGTAACCATAGACAGTACGTAAAAGATGAATGTGGCTATGCTCCAATAAAGTTTTACATATGAAAATTGAAATTTCACATAATTTTCAGGTGTCAACAAATATCATTATAATATCTAATAGGTTTTTATTTCAAGAGAAACAAAAAAGTCAACATAGATATCAACGTTCTATCACAAGTCACCAGGAGCAGAGACAGTGAAAAGCATCCAAAAAGGGGGTGTTCTGCTAGAGTAGAAAACTAGAGGATACTGATGATGGAAAATAAGTTACCCTATGGGCATTCCCAGGAAAATTTTAAGGATTTCACAAGAATTGAGTACTTTTAGCTACAGGAAGACAGTATCTTAGGTTATTATAAGTGATGTGATCCCATTAATCATCTTTAAACTTGTGAGGTGATGTCTGAAGAAATTCAAGATACAATGTGTGTGTATATACATATATATACATATTTCATACAAATATGAAGCCATTATATATTGTTAAAAACCTGCTTTTAAAAAACATAACATTGATCAATATATTATAAACATCTTGTCAATGAATGTTTACCCCTAATATCACTAGTATCATTTGCATCTACAATCATACCCTCATTTTCTATTCTTTCTGCACTAGTTTACAGAATTGCTTACTCTACTGTCTTCAAATTTGCATTTTCTATCATGCCAAATGTTAATATTGACTTTTTAGTTTGTGATTTTAATTCGCCAACTTCATAGTGTTTGTTACCTAAAATCACTATAGAAATGTGTTTGTGTATTCTATTTTAATTAAAAGAATCAGATATTAGGAATACTTAGCTAACTATAAGATATCTAATTACTTAGAAAAAGAAAATATTGTGGCCCTTGTTAGAATACTTTTATAAAACGGCTAAAGGCACAAGATTTCCAAAACAAGAAAGCATTCAATTGTTATTGATACTGGCATGTCAGGTTTACTATTTATAAGGATACCATGGCTCTTCCTCCCCCAAACAAAAGGCACTGACTCTTGAACTAGGAGAATGTAGTCTGCATGGTTTGAAATAAACACTGGAATTATGGGTGTGAATAAATGAGCATATGACATTAGCTTGATTTGAAGTATTTACATAATTATTAAAACCATCAGGTTGCACTTCCATAACAAAACAAAAATTTGCATGCATGCTGAATGTGTTTTTAAAAACACATTACTAAGCACAGACATATGGGTTTAACTCAGGCATTAAGACTTAAAAAGCTATTTGCCTAACCTTTATAGAACTTACTCTGATAGGAAGTACGGATCCGTTTCGTTAAATCAGGATAAAGGTTAGACAGGCCACGCATGCAAAAGTTGTCTTTGGAACATGCCAGAACATCAGCATCAGCAGCAGGCAGAGGAAAGAGAGAAAAATAGTCTAAAGTGAAAGGAAGTGATATCATACCAGAATCTAGAACAGCCAAGATGAAGAAATTGCAGCAAGTTTAGGTAATCAAATTAGAAAGGAGATATTAAAAAAATAAATCAATTAGAAAGTAAGAGGTGATAGATGAATGATGAGAGTGCTGTAGTAATTTTATTTAATCAAATATCCTATAAGAATAGATGTCAAATTTCTCATATGCTTTTCAGGTAGTAAACTTATTTCACTTGTGAATAGTATGTATGTTACCTCATAAAAATCAAAATGGTTATCTTTAATCTTCAGTATTAACAAGAAAGATTGGGGATTTTAGTCTTTGGCATTTTATTTTTATAACAAAGTGAGTACTCATCGTAGTGATTTTATACACTAAATATGACAAAAGATTATAATTTAATCAGTTTTTCCCTGATTTTAAATTATCAAAAAATTCTAAGCTCAAATCATAACTGAGACTCAGTATGTTTAAATTAAGTAACAGTTATATTATGCTTGTCACAATATACACCTTGTCATTACATTATGTATATCCAGAAGTAACGTACTGTCATAAGATCCTGTTTTTCTACTTCAGTTTATGCTTTTAGCATACAAATATTGCCTTCTGTCCCCTAACATCTTCCTATCCTAGAGTCCATAAACTTTCAAAAATCAATGTTCTTTCCCAATTATGAGGGACTCTAATGGTATATGCATGCACAATGTCTCTTATTCTGTCTTTTTTTCAAAAGCCGGAAATGGTAGAGGCAGAACCTATAGAATTTGAACTTTCCAGCATTCCTAAAATATTGCTAATATCTGAGATACCTAACAGAAAACAAAGAAACTCCAAGTTTTGAAGGAGAAATTTTGTGTTCCGAAAAAGGGTTTAAATTAGCAATGTGGAAAAGGTTGAGGTTTATCTTAAAAAAAAAAAAGATTAACATGATACCTACTATCATGTTATCTTTTTATTTTAAAATATTCTTTATGTGAGTAAATTTAATAACGGCTTTAATAATCAATGATTTTTTTTAAAAAAATCAATTATTTAAAAAACAATCTGATAGAACTAAACACATAATACTATAGATGTACAAATCTTTGAGCTCAACTAATTTTTTATCAATTAAGTTATGCCAGTGGACAGACAACTATTTGGAGAAATATTCAAATTTCAATAAATTTTGGATAATTCAGCATATCAAAATTTGGCATTATATAGAAAGTATTTCTACTTATGCCTTAATTACCCTTATATGTTTTTCTTTTATATTTAAACAAATTGGTCCTGTCAAGCAAAGTGTTATCTTTTATAGCATTTTAAAATGTTAATTAATAATGTTTATTGCATTTGTGAACATACCTTCAAGAAAATCACCATCCAACAAGGAAAGGTGACAGCTTGAATATAGAGTTTAAAAAATTAAAAATAGTGAAATACTTACAATTATATTTTTAAAGAGTCCAGATATATTAGAAGAAAATTATCCTGTTAAACACAACTATCACAAACAAATTTTTCAACTACAAAGCCTGATTTTCATCACATTTTTATATTTAATAGCTTCTTACTTTCTGTTATTTCTTAGGAGTTCGACCTAAGAAACTTGAGATACTCCCTAACTTTGACAGCAAATTAAAGTTTAAACACTTCCTTTATCTTTTCAAAGATTATTGGTATGCTTCTGCCCAATTTTATTTACATGATATTATAAATTATGTTGATTTTATATTGCCATGCATTTGAAAAATATCATAGAAGAAAGATAAGAAATCTAAAGGTAAGAAAACAGATGAACTAATCAAGTTCATAACCATTTTGTTTTATCTCCTACCTGCAATGAACTGCTTGTTTTTTCGAGGAGACCGTGGTTGACGTTGGTATAGGTCACTTGATCTATATAGGTCAATGGTCCCCATGCTTAACAGTACTGTCTTCTGTATAAAATCGACCACAGCCAACCCATTGCAGTTCCCAAATGCAACTCTGAGAGAAAAAGAATATGCAACTAGAATGTATCACAGCAATCATTATTATTTTTATCTTTGAATAAAAATAAGATAATTGGAAAGTAATGCCTTAGGGTTGGGGAGGTTAGATCATGATTGGTATAATGTCAGGAAGGATATCATGCCTTTACATAGGATAGGGTGGCCTTGTATAATAGACCACTGCAGTCACATTTTATCATCAGTTATATTATGTAAGTAGTGATTAACCAATCTGTTCTTTAACTTGGCCTTATATTTTTATAGTAGAATCATATAAAATATTTTTTTTATGCAATGGGGAAAGAGATCAAGAAATGGCACACTTTAATAGCTATAGATGGTTAGGTACGTAATTAGATGCCTTTTTAAAATAGAATTAAAATTGTTAAGCTCCAAATTATGTTTCTTCTTAGACAGTATATATTTAACATAAAATTTTACATGAAAATTAGCTATCTATGTCTCGAGTTTTGACCATAGAATAAATAATTTTCACTCACAAAAAATTAAATTTTCTCACTTGTTTTTTTAATCCTACTTATTAAAAGACAAATATCATTTGATTAATTTCTCTTGAAAATTAAAATAGCTCTCCTAAGCAAGTATTTTGAAGATTTACTTATTTATTTGAGAGAGAACATCAGCAGACGAGGCATATGGAGAGGAAGAGAGAATCTCAAGCTAACCCCATGCTCAGCACAGAGTCCAGTGTGAGGCTTGATCTCATGACCCTGAGGCCACGACCTGAGCTAAAACCAAGAGTTGGTTGCTTAACCAACTGTTCCACTTGGGTGCCCTTAAGCAGGTATTATGGTCAGCCTAAAGACTGACCACAATACACAAACTCTTTTCTCAATTTAGAACATGCCTTTTAACTGAATAATTATAAATTTGTGCTTTTGCTCCCTACACTAATAAACAATAGTTGCATAACTGCTGTTTTGCTCCTTATAAGTAAGTTCCATGTTGTTTTATTGCTTAGATTGAATCTGATTAACAAATCATCAGTTTATTCTGTTTTTTCTACTCCACCAATCATAGCCTTCCTTAAAATAAGTAAAAAGAAAAGTTCTACCATACTGGATGTTTGCTATTTCATATAGAGTTCTACGTCTTCAATAAGACAGACTTTGGAAACTAAAAAAAATATTGTCATAAAAGTCAGCAGACTCAATCTCCAACATTTATAGGTGACCTTGAAAAAAATTAATGAACTTAAAAAAAAATTAATGAACTTTTCCAGGCCTTAGTTTCTTTACTTTATAAGAATTAAATACTAGATTTATCTACTTATCATGGCTTTTATGAAAACCAAATCAGAAATTTTTATTAAAGTACTTTGAAAAATTTCCATACGTAAGTAGGATTGGCCCTAATATAAATAAATGCAATATTACACATATTACATATTGTAGCAAGTTAATCTCTTTAAGCTTGTATAGGTATGATAGAGTTTCTAAATGCAATACTGACAAGAAAAAAAAACAGGAAAATAGAATGTATTACATCAACTAAAATGATTTTTTTATTTATTTTAAATGTTTATATTTCTTTTTTTTTAATTTTTTAATTTATTCATGATAGTCACACAGAGAGAGAGAGAGAGAGGCAGAGACACAGGCAGAGGGAGAAGCAGGCTCCAAGCACTGGGAGCCCGATGTGGGATTCGATCCCAGGTCTCCAGGATGACGCCCTGGGCCAAAGGCAGGCGCCAAACTGCTGCGCCACCCAGGGGTCCCTGATTTTTATTTTTGATTTAAAAATAAGAATACTAGAAAGTTATACCTTAGGGTTGGGGAGGTGAAAAGTTGGGGAGGTCAGGCAATGATTATTGAAAAATACTGGATTTAATTTCCTAACTTAAATAGAAAACTGGACAAACTATATTAAGCAACAGTTTTCATATTTTGGCCAACAGGCAACACAGGATGAGAGAAATATAGCATTCGAGGTAAATTCTAGGTATTTTTTTTGTTTTATTTGTTTTTACAGTTTTATTGAGATATATTTCATATATCATAAAAATTCACTGATTTAAATAAAGCGTACAGTTCTGTGGTTTTATATTTATTTCTATCAATTTAACAGGTTTAGAATTATGCATCATCACCATATTTTATTTATTTTTTTATCACCATATTTTAGAACATTTCAATACAGGCATATAGGTATTCTAATTTACACTAATTGTCCTAACTTCGTGAATAGAGAGGTTTCCCAGGCCTGGAGCACAGGAAACTGAGACTTACAGAGAGATCAGTGGTTGTTTTGAATAGAGGAGAATGATATTAGAATCTGATGCTGCAAAAGCAGCCAGAATTTATGAGATAAAATACTAGAGAGATGAGAACTGCATAGACAAAGTATACCAGAGATTTATAGAATGGTTCTCTCAAGCATCCATGTGAAGAAACTACCCCAGGCTCAGGAAAGAACCACCAAAGAGATAAAGCTGAACAAGTCCCAAAGCTCACACAAGGCTGAAAATATTTCATGTTACTACCAGCCAAACTGCTGAGATCTTCTACTACACATTAAAAAGGCACATATAGGTAGTATCACTTTAGTAGTGGGGACAATTGCCCTAACTAAAAGCTCTTCTGAACCCCATCCTAAAAACTCTTAGAAACATCATTCTAAGTAACATAACTGCCTTCCAGAAAACTATCCAACTCTATTAAAAAGAATCAACAAAATACCACCACAGTTTAAAATTCACAATGTGCACTATATAACAAGTAGCAGGCATATAAAGAATTAAGAGAACCTGACTGATAAGCAGAGGGAAAAATAAGTCAACAGAAACATAACTAGAAATGAAACATATGACAAAAGTAGCAAACAAAGATAATGCTTAAAAAATAGGGGCACACAGGTGGCTCAGTTGGTTAAGCATCTGCCTTTGGCTTAGGTCATGATCTCAGGGTCTTAGGATCTAGACCTATGGTGGGCTCCCTGCTCAGCAGGGAGTCTGCTTCTCCCTCTTCCTCTGCTCTTCCCTGCCCCACTTGTTCTCAATCTCTCTCTCTCAAATAAATAAAATCCTAAAAATTTGGGGCACCTGGTTGACTCAGTAGTTGAGTGTCTACCCTTGGCTCAGGGCAAGGTCCCAGGGTACTGGGATTGAGTCCCACATCAGGCTCCCCATGGGGATCCTGCTTCTCCCTCTGCCTCTCTCTCTGTGTCTCTCATGAATAGATAAATCTTTTTTTTTAAGATTTTTAAAAATTTTTTTACACAGAGGAAATTTTTTTTAATTTTTATTTATTTATGATAGAGAGAGAGAGAGAGAGGCAGAGACACAGGCAGAGGGAGAAGCAGGCTCCATGCACCGGGAGCCCGACGTGGGATTCGATCCCTGGTCTCCAGGATCGCGCCCTGGGCCAAAGGCAGGCGCCAAACTGCTGCGCCACCAGGGCTGCCCCGAATAGATAAATCTTTAAAAAATTTTAAAAAATATACATACGTGTGTGTGTGTGTCTTTCAGATATTTGAGAAGTAGAGGAAAACCTACTCTAGAGCTATAGGAATCAAGACAGGCTGGTATTGAAATAGAGATCAAAAATAAATTTTAATGAAACAGAAGAGTGGCCATAAATCCATAAATGATCAATTGATATTTGACAAAAGTGCTATGGTAATTCAGAGGAAAGATATTCTTTTAGATAAATGATATGAACAATTACATATCCATAAGTAAAAAAACTGAGCCCTAAATATTTACCTTCCATGGTACACAAAAAAAATCAAGTTAATTTCTTAAAAAAATAAGCAAAAGAGGGGTGCTTGGTTGGCTCACTTGGTTAAGTGTCCAACTCTTGGTTTCAGCTGAGGTCATGAGCTCAGGGTCCTCAGATGGAGCCCTAGGTCAGGCTCCACATTCAGCATGGAGTCTACTGGAGATTTTCCCCCTTTCCCTCTGATACTTCCTCTGCTCACACCCTTTCTCTCTCTCTCTCTAAAATAAAATTAAATCTTTAAAAAACTAATAGGCAAAGATTTGAACAGACATTTCACCACGCAAAATGTACAAATGTGAAATAAAGACTTGAAAGATGCTGAACATCATTAGTTACCAGGAATAGGTAAATTAAAACCACTGATCCCACTTACATACTGACAAGTATGTAGAAAAACTGAAACCCTAATACATTCTTGGTGGAAAGGCAAAACAATATAACTTCTTTAAAATATAATCTGTCATAATAAATAAATAAATCCTTCAACAACACAAGGGTTAAAGGCACCTACCCCACACCATCAAAATCCATGATAACTTTGGTTTCCCCCCCGAACTTAACTACTAATAGCCTACTGTTGATTAGAAACCTTACACTGGGAACAAAGTCAATGAACACATATACTGTATATGTGTTAAATGCTATATTTTTACAATAAACTAGAGAAAAAAAGTTTTTAAAAAAATCATAAGGAACACATATTTACATTTTGTATTGAAAAAAATCCATGTACAAGTGGACCCATGCAGTTTAAACCTGTGTCACAGGTCGACAACTCACCATTTGACCCAGTAATTCTACTTTTAAGTTATTTACCCAAGAAAATGTAAACAAATGTTACACATGGATGGACTTATACCTGAACGTTAATAGCAAATTCCTTCATAAAACCCCAAACTGGAAACAACTAAAATTTCCATCAAATGGTGAATGTATAAACACATTTTTGTATATCCACATAATGGATAATGCAGCAGTGAAAAGGAACAAACCACAGATATACGCATGACATGGATGAATCATAAAAGCCTTATGCTAAGGGAATGAAAGCAAACACATAACTCATGATTTATGATTCTGTTTATATAAAATCATAGTAAATGCAGTCAATTTGAGAGGCTATAAGTGAGGGATGAAAATTGAATAGGAGGGGATAGGAAGGAACTTTTTGAGGTGATTGATACTTTTTATATCATTAGTTTGTTAATGATTACTTGACTTGTATTTGTCTCGTATTGTTTGCCAAAACACGTAT